AAATAAACGCGACAGAAAAAATGTATTAATTCCTTTTAAACATATAATACGTAAAAAAAAAATGGAAAACCTATTACAAATTAAAATAATTATAAATAAAATTATTTAAAAGAAAGATCGAAAAATAATTAATAATACTGTTTTTTTTTAATAAAGAAAAATATGTATAAGAAAAGACGAAAAAGAAAAATCCACATTTATGTGCAAAAGAATTATAATTCATAAACACAACAATTAATCAATATTTGATATAAAAAAGAGGAAAGAAAATTATACAAAGAAGATAATATCTCTACACAAAAAAAAATACAAAAATAAATTAAAAAGCTAGAAATCGAGATAAAAATAAGCAGGAGCTAGAAAAGATATAAACATTATGTCTCAAGAAAATGTGCAATATAATTTATGTTAAACTTTCTTTCAACTTTTCTTTTTTCCTCTCCAATTATCTAATTATATATATTCATCGATTTTATTTTAAATGCAGAATGTGCAACACGATGCAACGATGCAGCTACCAGACCTGACCTTCATGATGCGAGAGGATAGAGATCTTCTCTACCGACCATCGCGGAATGTCGAAAAAAAAGTATAGTACGACTAATGAAGGAGAGGGGAGAGCAGATCCCCCGCAACCCCCGCTTTCACCCACACCTCGCGATGACGATAGTTTGTGATAGTTGAATCACGACGACGGTGACGCGTTGCTCTGAGTGCGTCAACGTATAGTCGGTATATATCACTCAGTGTGTATCAACGTATTGTCACACATGACAGGTGATGTTCACGCATCCGCGTGACTTTGCATCCGCGCAATATATATTCCGTGAAAACTCCGCGGAAAACAATTTCTGTGAGCGTGATTAAGTATCCGTGGAGCGGATATTGTGATCGAATTAATCGCCGATCGTATTGTAGTTGTACGGAACACCAAAAGGTCGCTAGGATCCCACAAAGATGCAGGTGAGAGATTTTCATTTTTTTTATTCCTCACGTACTTTTTGCGCACGTTTAGGAAGCGAGAGAGAGAGAGAGAGAGAGAGAGTAGAGCGGGGGGGGGGGGAAGTGAGAAAGAGAGAGTGAGAGAGATCGTGTAAAAAAAATAGCGAAAACTCTCTCTTGCCGAGAAACTTCTCTTTCTCTCTTTTCTCTTTTCTTGTACGATTGGAAATTCTCGTTTAGCTATGTCTCATGAATATACAACAGCAGACGCGAGATGGTTTGGAATTTCCCGCAATTCCTATTCGCGTCCCGCTTCGCGCGGTTAGAATTGCGCGAAGAGTTCCCGAAACGACTGAAAACGCACAGATTAAAATGCGCCGAAAACAGAGATTTATAGAACTATAATTTTTTAACGACAATTTTTACTAGCTGGAATGTCGTTACGTAGATATTTTACAGAGTGAAAAAGCTGCAATGACAGTGTAAAGGTACTTTTTCATACTGACGCTGGACGCTCATTTTTAACGTCAAAACAGATCACGTAATAAAAATTGACGAATATCAAGCGTCAATTTGATCACGTGACCTGTTTCGACTTTAAAAATGAGCGTCGAGCGTCAGTATAAAAAAGTACTTTAACGATTCCGAACTGTCGTTAAAAGTTATAGAATAGGTCTACTAATTCATAAACACAACAATTAATCAATATTTCATATAAAAAAGAGGAAAGAAAATTATACAAAGAAGACAATATCTCTACACAAAAAAGAAATACAAAAATAAATTAAAAAGCTAGAAATCGAGATAAAAATAAGCAGGAGCTAGAAAAGATATAAACAAAGAAGCCGTTCTGATTCCCACCTAAGTGCTCCTCATCCTATTTAACGTTCAGTAAACAACAAAGATGACATGACATCCGGGATAAAGCTCTGTATTAATAAAAGTAGCGCATTTCTTTGATCTGAGCCGAGATGCCGACTTTCCTATTGGCTATTTCGACCGCCATTTTGGACCGAGTTGTCTGTAGTTCATAAATTAGTATTATTGATATATGGTGTGGTTAGTTATAAGACCAATATGGCGGACTTTTGCGCTGCTTTTATTAATATAGAGCTTTACATCCGGGGAGCATTCAGGTAGGAATCCGAACATGCCCTTGGATATTAATCATGTAACTTTTTCCCTAGAGTAGAAATGTGAAAGGTAAAAATTTTTTGTCTGTATGTATGTATATGTTATATTGCATTTATATGTTGAGTGTGAAATTATAATTGATGTTATGATGCTATTAATGTGTAATTATGTAATATTTATGATGCTATTAATTTAAATAATTAATGTTCAATGTTTTTTTTTTGTAAGAAATTGATACTTTTAATCTTTCATAAAGGAAATAAAAAGAAATGCGATACTTTCAAAAATGCTCGATTTTAAGACTCAAATTATCATCACGATTTTGCAAGTTTTATCGATTTACTTTAACCTTTGGAAAAAAATTAATTTTATTTATAATGAACGAATTTTTTATTCTTCTTTCGTCTTTGAATTACACTAATGATCAATCAGAAAATGGTGATAATCTAATGATCTAATCTGTAATTAAGAGACGTTATCTATAAACGTATAAACATATACGTTTCTTTTATCTCATTGTCTCGATAATTTTTAAGTTATGTACAAGTCATTACAAAAACTCCACAATTTATGTTTACAATTTGTTCTTATCAATTTGTTCTTTCAAAACTGTCTTAAGATATAAGGCGCTAACATCACTCTTATGATTAGTTATGATTACACTGAAATGTTTTGATATATATTTTGTTGCTATGTGACCCTAAAAATTTTCTTACTTTTTCATTTAGAGATCGTGTTGTTTTAATCAAAATTTAGTTATTCTAATCAAATTTTTATTATAACAACAAATTTGGTGAGAACAACACAAATGATTCAAAAAGCATTTTAAAGTTTGAAGTCTCTACTATTTCAGATAGATTAAATAACAATTAGATAAATTAAATAACAATTAATTCGACTGATTTTTTACGAAGCTGCAAAGATATAAATGGACATTCTTTAAATCTAAAAATTTTTATGAACTTTACAAAGTTCCAAAGCATGAATTAAAAATTGTATATAAAAGCAATTAACCGATTTTAAAAGACTGAATCTTTATTTTTAATTTACGTCTTTATTGTGAGCGTTATTTTTTCACTGACTTATCAACAGTGAAGCAAGAGAGTCTTTTTTACTTTGACTGTTCATAAAAAATAAACAAAGTAGAGCTTAATATTCTTTAAAAAAACGAATAGGAAGGTTTTAATTTTTTCTTTAAAATACTATTTTTTTATTTAATTATTACCATTTTTTTATTTTTAAAGAAAATTTCATATATAAACTTCGCTTAAATGAGGCGCTAGAAATTTAAGGATGATTGACATGTTTTCATTTATGATACTATATCTCTGAAATGTTAAGAATGTTAGGATTTTAATGTAATTTATGTTCTTCATGTTTAAAGCAATGACTTTGAGTAAAACAACGTTCGCTTTATTCTATCGCAACATACCCGTCGTACTTTGTATGAAGGTTGCACGATCAAATTTACGCGTCTTTGTATATTATGTATATGGCGGATATACACGATAGGAGTAAATGCGAGCAAATTGAAACCTTCTTAATTGTTTTAAAAAATATCGAGCGTTACTCTTTTATTAGCAGTCAAAGGAAAAAAACCACTTTTTGTTTCAACATTGAATAATTCGATAAAAAAACAATACGCAAATTAAGAATAAAGATTCACTTCATTGAAAAATGTAAATTGCTTTTGTGTGTGATTTTTAGTTCATATCATGGAACTTTGCAAAATTTTGAGATTTGACAAATTTCCATTTGTTTATTCGTGTATTCTGTCAAAAAGTTAATTAGGTTGTTATATAAACTACCTATTTGAATTAAAAATAGAGATTTCTAGTTTTAACATGCTTTTTGAATTATTTCATTGTAATCATTTTGATTGTACTCTCTTGAAAACTATTTTTTGAGAGCAAAGTGATATACGAGTTTCTTTTTTTCTTTCATTCCTTAGTTTTTTGACGTAGTATCTAGACACTAAGACTAATTATAAATTTCGACAATCTTCACATAAAATTAAATTTCTTAAAATTCTTTAATTTTATTTTTTATTTTCGGATGCATTTTAACAAATGCGTAATTTATGGATTTTTTACAAAAATATATGCATAAAAGCATTCACAAATGTAAATATTCATAATTTGAAAGAATAATGGAAGAATTGTATTGTAGTAAATATTAAAATCATTCTTTACGTGCAGAGTATATTTCAATTAAATATGTAAATTTGTCAAAATTATACAGCTTTATGTATGAATTGCAAATTTTTTATTAAATTAGATTTACTAAAAATCAAATTAATTCGAAATTAATTCGTCTTCTGATAGATATAAAAAATTATTTTTCAAATACATGAATTTTAAAATTATTATTTTTTAACTCTTTTGTTTCCTGTGAATTAACTATAATCAAATAGCTGTATTTAAAATTAGAAAATATTATTACATCTATATCTAAATTGCCGATTTGAATATACGTAGTTTTTTTATATGGCAGGACTTTACGTTTGTATAACATAGTATTTTGAAAGTATTTTTTAAAACTTTTCGATAAAATAAAATATCGTGTTAACTTTACAGATAATGAAAATGAGTTCCACATTTTTGTAGTAAAAAAAAAAATAAATTAAAAATATGGCGTACTAATTTTGGTATAAAAATCTCTTTTTGTATAAAAATTGACCCGAAAAGGTCGAATGAGGGCAGAGAGCGCATCTGCACGATGCGACCCGGCGCATTTTCGGAGCCGACCAAATCGACTTCGTTCACCCCAGGGTCCGATGATCTAAGTGGGTCGGAGGATGCGAAGGGCCCTCGTTAGAGAGAGGGTCTCGCACAATGCGCGACGCAACTGTAAACCGTGAACAGCGGGAACACACGGTGTCTGTTCGACGACGACGACAACCACGACGACGACGATGGTGGTGATGGCAATGGTGGTGGTTGCTGATGGTAGTGGGGAAGCAGGGTAGAGAGAATTTAATTTGAGCTTGCGAGGAAGTAGTTGATTGGAGATGCGAGGTACGGATTCGTTGGCGGGAGAGCAGTTGTAGCTCGACCGTTGGTCTTGTTAGACCTTCCGGGAGATCCTTTTGCTAAGATCGCGATTGCCGATCCCAATCTCGATTGATTTCGCGAACGCACGTGCGACGTGCGCACGTTTTCTTTGGTGCGAGACCGCGCCGTTCTTTTTTTTTTTTTTTTTGCGAGGCCACGATTTCGGGCAATGAACCTGATTGATTCCATTCGACCTCGCTATCACGTGCAAATTTGCAATTTCCACGTTTATGGAACAGCCACATAAGAAGCGACAATCAAGTTCTCCGACGAACGAGTTCGTAGGTTGAGTCAACAATGCATTACGATGCATAAATTTTAAATCTCGGGATTGAGCGCAGCTTTTGCAGGTACTTTTTGCGTTGAAGATTGTCGACAATAGTTTTTCATACTTTTGTTAGTGCGCGCTTTGTGACTAACATTTCGCTCTAAACTTGGCTCTGTTTGAATTCTACTTACATCTCTCTCTCTCTCTCTCTCTCTCTCTCTCTCTCCCTCCCTTTCTTTCTTGGTCTGATTTAATGCTTCATTAAAAAGGAAGATTTTGAATATAATCAGATTTGGAGTAATGCAAAATATTTATATGTATATCCTTACTAATTTATTGTTGTAAATATGATATATAAATATAGGATATTCTAAAAAATATTTCTGTATTCGATATATTCTAAAATATATTTACGATATACATTCAATAAAGAAAAATAAGTCTAGAAAGATTTTGAACTACTTTCATATTTATTAGGTGTTGGAATTAATTCGTAGCGTTTTACAAGTGATGGGAAGTACTTTCATTAATGTATTTTTTAATGCTCATGTGAAATAAATAACATTCTTTCATTAAAAAACGCTACGAATTAATTCCAACACCTAATATATCATAATTTTTTTATACTTTTTGTAAACTTTTTTGATAGAATTTATGATTGCGTGTAAAAAATTAGAAGAAAAAGTGATATACAAATACATACAAAATGTAAGAGATTGAATATATATACAATCGTAAATATGCAAATTTAGTATTGTTTATCTCACAGTCCCGTCTGTGTATTATTTTATATACTTAATTCAGCTTCATACATAACTAATTAACGTAATACTGCTCGAATTTTTAATTATATTTACCAGCTAAAATACCTGTCTGGTGCGATTGTTATATCTCTTCTTTTATTTTCTATTGTTGGCAAGCAAAGGCAGTTTGCCAATATTTCACCGGCAACAAAACATTGAACTGACAAATCGACCGTAAAAGAATTTTATCTAACGGCACATGAAAACGGATATTCTCTATAACAAAAAAGTATATCGCATATATCTCAAAATTATGGTTTGGAAAAGATAGTTAACCGTAATGATTATTTGCCGCGTCGAAAAATTACGAGTGCGACCGAATACAAATATCCATTTTTCCTAGCAACGACTGTTAAAATGTAGACACTATTCGGTACAACGAATAATGGTATCGATAACACCTGTATGATTTTAACTTGAGTGGTAGATAATTCTGTATTTATTAACAGATAGAGAGCACATTGATCTATTTTAATAACTTTTACTAGAGCTACTTTGATCTCTTAATATTTTCCGACAGTAATAGTTATTACGCGAACAATATGTAGTTTATAAATATATAGACGACGCGTTAAAAAGCTAATGAAAACTTTGACAATTTGTCAAATTTGTTTTTATTCAGATTATGAGAACTGTCTTCTGTTGATTTGCCGACATTGATCGCGCTATTGTGTAGCAATATCGCTTTCAAAACAGATTTAACTATCTGTTAAATCTTTTACTGCTGTTAATACACACGAGAGAATTCATGTCAAAATGTTTCTTTGGTCGGCATTTATAGTCCGTTCTTATTTCTAGACCATCTTAAGTTGCTAATATGACTTTCTGGCCGGTATTCATAGCCAGATCTTATATTTAAGATTGTATTAAGTACAGTCTTAAGAAGTCAAGAATCAATTAAAAGGTATTAGCATCTTAAGACATTACTTAAGACAGTCTTGAAATAAGAACTATGAACAAGGACTATGAATACCGCCCTCTGATTGTTTCATGGCATCTTAAAATTGTACTTAAGACAGTCTTAAATATAAGAATCGATTATGATTATGATTATATGAATCGATTATATATCGCCGACCTTAAATCATAATCATAGCGATTGGAATTGGCGATTGCTTTTCAACCAGTCAAAGCATAGCAGTCCTCGATTGTTTTATTTTAAAAAAATTGATTGAAAAATAATCATTAATCATCAATTATAATCGCATAAGCGCTAGTGTAATTACAGCTTTACAAATATATACTTATACTTTACACTCATTGACACAATTGTCGTCATCTCAGTTTTAATAATTCATTTGTTTAAGTGCAATTTATCTGCACTTAATCTGTTTACTTTTTTTACAAATTTAAATCTTATTTGCCACGTTAATATTTTTATAGGAGTTTGTAGCTCAAGCTCATTATAGAAATTATTTATTCATTTATTCAGCTTCACCAATTAATTTTTTAACGATGGATAAAAATTATTAATTTTTTTATGATTGATAAATAATCGTATATCACTGTTTATAGCGATCTTATTATTAATTTGTAATGAAAATATTTATTAAAAGTCAGATGAAAGGAAAATTCAGAAGAGAAACCTTTAAAGAAATTTGAATCTTCAAATTGCGAGCATTACATTCGCATTACAATACCAAATGTTATTTTTTTAGCGGTCAGATCATATCTTGTCGTCAGTGAACAAACGCGCGCGTAACGATTAACAATACATGGGCACAAATAGCGCCCGTGAGATTGGAATTGTGGAAATATACGCGACGGACGTAAAAAGATTAAAATTTATCATGGGAAAGGGGAATAACGACACGCGAGAGCCTCTCGAATTGATGCGAGTAATGAAAAATGATGCGCAGAAAGTCGCAGGAACGAGTACACAATGTTGCTCCCTCGCATTATACGCGAAACCCCTCGGTGTTGTCTGACGAGGCCCTGCAGTCGTTTTCCCCCTAATTATCTCATAGTAGATGACCGAGTTGGACGCACACCTAGTTCCCCTCCTCGAAACGCGGATATATTATCGCATTTTAGAGCACAAGTGTCGTTAATCGATGCAACGACGACGACGATGTCTAATTAATCGGATTTTCCGCTCGGAACACGCGCGATTATTATCTTTATTTACAATAAATGAAAGATTATGTCAGATTATGCCTAGATTTATAGCAAAATTTCGAGTTCATATTACGGTAAATTGTAACGAATGTATTGCGAGAAATGTATTATACAATAAAATTTGAGTGCGATGCGCAAAAAAGTCAGTTAATGTTATACATTTTTGCTGTGCATTATATCTTATTGAAGGAAAACAAAACTAAGTAGTAATATTTGAGTTAAAAGTTTCTTTTCCTTACAATTAAAATTTTGATTAAAATTTGAGAAAGTGAATAATTGAAGATCATTCCATATATGTATTTATATAATAAAAATATGGATTAAAATTAATGGACCGTATAAGTGATTTATGAGTTTATACATGATAAAATTATGGACCATATATAATAAAAATGTAGATTAAATTTAATGTACTAATATTAATATTAATAAACATATTAATATTATTAAAAAAAATATTTTAATAAACTTATGTCCTGCATAACTTGTGTCGGCTCTTAAAAGCTTTTTTTAATAGTTGATTTACTTCACTAGAGTCTATACAATTTTGAAATAATTCGAATTCTAACTGTTAAGAATTATGAATAATTGTAGTCAAAGTATTCCTTTTAGTTAATTTTCAATAATTCAGTAACAAAAAAATCTTAAGAATATTTTTAAAGAATAATTTTAAGCTTTCATGTTAAAAAATTTTGACAATGTTTTTGGATACGTACATGACAGACTTACAAAGTGAGAAGAAAATTTTGTCCAATTCATAGTTTTCTATGTATAAAAATTATCAAATTCACAGAAACTCGAAATATATCTAGTGATCTTTCAAGAGTAGAGATTTTTAAGTTTTCAAATTTTGAAATTCATAGCGCTTTGGTTTCAACGCAATGCCTCTTTATTTTTTATTTATTAACAACTGCATGTAATAATAGTATGTATTTGTCGATAAGACTAATGTTTTTTTATGATACGTTTTTATAATATACGTTGTCGATGGACCGGAACGTTGACATTCGCATCACGACACTGTGCTCTCAGCGAATCGCAAAGGATTAATCTCATTAAGATTGTTATAAAAACATTTAATTACCATTTATAAAAAAATGTTTAACTTTGAGATCTGATTATACAGGGTGGGCCATCTATTGGTACGTTTTTAAAAATGCGATCAAATGAGCATACATTGATATTTTTTATTAATTTTTTTTTTGTTGTGAAGCTAAAAGTATCCGCGTCAAGAATGAAAAACGATTTCGTTCATGTGGCTCCCTCTACTGGCCTTACAGTATGCCATTCGGTCACCCCAATTATTAATGACATTTTGGACTATTGTTTTTCAAAGCTGGAATTGTCTCACACTTTGGGCCACAGCCTCAATATTCTCGGGTGTGCGCACTGTCCGAGCTCTGGGACCACTTCTGTCATCCACTAACATCCCTTTCTCACGAACTTTCCTCACCAATTTGCGTATAGCTCCTTCGGTGCTCCATATTTCTTTTCAAAATTCGTACAGTTTCGGCGACACAGCACTGACTTTGAAAATAAGTTTTTAAAATTTCAAAACGCTCTTCAAGAGAAAACATGTTGTTTCGTGCCGCGGACGGTATGACTAATAAACTGTCAAAATTTCGGGTCTGTAGCTCGTTCGGTGTTGCCATACGACGAAATTCAAAAACGTACCAATAGATGGCCCACCCTATACTTATAAGGATGTACTTGATTATTTTAGGTGAAAATATAAAATGCGCAGAAAGGAAATTTTTTCCAAGAAAAAAAAATGAATAAAATAATTTGTTAAATTTGTTCTTAAACAATTAAAATTATTGAGGAAAATTCTGCGAAATGTGAATAAATAAAGTTATTCAAATTCATAATTATTAATTAATGTATTCAGCTTGTCGAACTGTCACATGATTTATATGCGATTAAACACATGTAATTATCATGCATACAATTTAGCACAAATTCTCAATAAGTATGTTGCAATTTCTTTCATTCTTTAATCGCAAATTGATAAGAAATTCTATATAATGCAAATAAAATTTAATATTTAATTCAATACTTGATTAATTTAATACTTAATTATTTTTTTAAAATACAATCATAGCGATAATAACTGTTTATGATTGGAAATGGAATGCAAATAATAATGCAAATATAATAATTT